TAATTTGATATTAGTGATACGAATATAAACATATATTATTATTGTATAGAGATATATAGTTATATATAGAGGGTATATATAGATAGTGTTAGCATATAGATATTAGGAGGTCATGTATATATATGATAGCGTAGTGTCAATATACTGTATATGTATAGTAGTGAGGTAGTTAGTGATATATGTGAATGATATATGTAGATGAATGTGAGTAGAAGCGTAGGATATATGAAATATAGAATAAGTATATAAGAATGTAATATGTAGTATAAATTATGTGAAGGCTATATATAGTATTAGATATATTAATGAATATATGAATATAGAACATATAGAAACATAATAGTATATACATATAGCATAGGTAGTGTGAGTCGTAGTGTAGCATATATCATGTATATAGTATACTAGTGAGGTATATCGACAGTAACATAGTAGTACATGGTGAGTAATATATACGTATTATACATATACATATATACATTATACTTACTGTGATGTAGTATATAGTAGTAGAGGTAGTGAGTATATAGTATAGCTGGTGATATTATATAGCATAGTATATATATAGAGGGGTTAGTAGGTAGTATATATGTGAATGGTAACATGTAGGGTGGTGGTGTGGGTGTATATAGGTATATAGTTAATATGTAGCCTAGTATGTATATAGTGGTGAGTATATGTATGTGGGGTATGTGTAGGTGAGTAGTATATAATTAATATATATTTAGATATATATATATGGATAAGTAATAGGTAAGGGTGTGTTGATAGTATATATATTATAGGTAGTGTAATTAAGTTATATACTGTAAATACTTGTGATTAGGGTGAGTATAATGAGGGGTATATATATAGATTATAGGTAGATAAGTGAGAGTATATATCAAATGTTATTAGCTGATGTTGTGAAATAATGAGTTATAAGTACTAAAGTTAGGGTATATATATATGTAATAGTAGTGGAGATGAAGCGTTAGAGTGTGTAAGTATACCATATATAGATTTTGTGATGTTATAGTGTTATGGTGTATTACCGTAGATGGGTTTAGTGAGTATGGTACCCATATATAGGTAGGAATAATATATGTATTACATAATTAGTTGATGTGGGTGTGATATAGATGTATTGGGTTAATTAAAGTAATGAGGTGTAGTAATTAATTATATATATATGTATATTGTAGGAGTGATTATGTTGATGTCTATACAGTGAGTATATAGAGTATATAGTATTGTGGAGTTATGTGTAGTGTGAGTAGTTATGATAGGTCTTATGATGGGTGTTATGTAGTGGGTCTGTATGTTGTATATATTAGTGGTTATATGTTATTGTCTAGAGTGTAGTGATGATTCTCATAATGATATGTGTGTGTAATATATGGGTGCGTTGTAGTGTGATATGATGAAAATATTATGTGAATGTATGTTGGAGGTAGTAGTGATAATGTATTGCGTAAGTAGAGAATATATTATAGTATTAGTAAAGTAGTTAGTAGTAGTTGTAGTGATGTGATGTAGTGATGCATAGTTAGGTAGGGGTTAGGGATGTGATTGGTCGATATAGTATACTAGGGGGGT